GAGTATGAGGCATTGATAGGGGGTCTGAGATTGGCCAAAACCCTACAAATCACCTGCCTCAGGATCAAATCCGACTCAAGCTTGGTGGTAGGCCACATCAATGGCAACATGGAGGCCAAAGGAGAGAAGATGCAGAAGTACAGAGACTTGGCAAGGGCATTATTGAAGGATCTGACTGAGTATGTGATGGAGCAAATCCCTAGGGGGGAAAACACCGATGCTGACTTGCTATCAAAATTGACGCAAGCAGCCCCGGAGCATGTGTCCAAGCTGGCCAGGATTGAGACGCTGGAGAAAGCCAGCATTGAAGGGTTTTCTGTTAGCATGATAGAGGAAGATGGAACGCCCAATCCAGATCGAGTGGAGCCAGATGATATTTGGATGGATGACTTGGTCAGGTACTATATGACCGGGCAATTCCCTGAGGATGAGGATAGGGTGAGAAAAGTAAAGTTGAGGGCTCCAAGATTCCAAATGCTTGATGGAAGGCTATACAAAAGGGCATTTGGCGGTCCGCTGCTGAGATGCTTGACCAGGGCGGAGGCGGAAAGAGTGATCGCCGAAGTTCATGAGGGTGTCTGTGCAGCCCATCAGATGTCCAGGACACTCGCACAAAGGATCCTTTTGCTAGGTTATTTCTGGCCTACAATGAACCAAGATTGTGAGAAGTATGTGCAAAGGTGCAAGACTTGCCAGGTGTTCTACAAGTTTCCGGGAAGGCCTGCGACATATTACCACCCAGTTTCCAATGTTATTCCATTCGCAAGGTTTGGAATGGACATCATTGGGGCCTTCCCTCAAGCTCAAGGGAGGAAGAAGTATGTCATGGTCGCTATCGACTACTTCACAAAATGGGTAGAGGCTGAGGCATATGCAACCATCACAACCAAGCAGTGCCAGCGCTTCGTCTGGAAGAATATAATCACTAGGTTCGGGTCTCCTCGAAACATTGTGACGGATAACGGGCCTCAATTTCGGAATCCAGGGTTCACCAAATACTTGGAGGACTTCGGGATTACTCACAATAAGGCTTCTGTGGCCTACCCGCAAGGGAATGGCCAGGTGGAGAATGCGAACCGCACAATAGTCGATGGGATCAAAAAGCGGTTGGGTGAGGCAGGAACGAATTGGATAGAGGAATTGCCACATATCATCTGGGCTTACCGAGTCACTTCGAGAAGGGCCACCGGGGAGACACCTTTCGTCCTTATGGATGTGAGGCCAGACTACCCATTGAAGCAAAGATAATGACCTTCCGGGAAAAGATCTATGAGGAGAAAGGGAATGAAGAGGACCATTTGGCAGAGTTGAACTTTTTGGAGGAAAGGCGGATGGTCGCTGAGGCTAAAATGATAGAGTACCAGCAAGCAGCCAAGGCCTACCATGATAACAGGGTAGGGCCTCGTTATTTCCAAGTCGGCGATGAGGTCCTGAGACGAAGGGAGGCCAGCAAACCGGGTGATGGTGGAAAGCTTGCAAAGAAATGGGAAGGTCCATATAGGGTCACAACAATATTACGCCCTGGGACATACAAGTTAGAAACAATGGAAGGTCGGGAGTTGGAAAGGTGCTGGAATTCCCACCACCTTAGAAAATTCTACCGATAGACCAAATTGGCAAGGGATACATTTGTAATATCCCTTCGATGATAAATAAGAGATTTCTTCAATACTTGTGTTGCTGGGTCAGTAATACTAAACTAATGTCTTGATGTAAGAGGCAAGGTCAAAAAAAAAAAAGATAAACCCTTGAGATAGGGGCCTTGATGTTGAGGCATGGCCTTGAGATAGGCTGGGTCTGGAAGAGGACTCGCGTCCATACTTACATGGATCCCTACCAAATTTTCATTTGGATAGGGGCAAAAAGATGCCAAAGTAAAAAATGATTACCGTCTTGCATGAGCCATCCTTTACGGATTGAAGGGTCTAGGGAAGACTAGAAATCTCTTCAAACGCATAACATATGGACATGTAAGATTGGATGAGGGCTGGTTCTCACCGGCATACCCCCACGTGGGAAGATTGGGTTGGCTAGGTCAACCTAATGATTAGAGAATGGCACATTAAAAAAACTTAAAACCTGGAAGAGGGGCCCTGGAAGAAGGGTGTTGCCTGGAAGAGGGTTGAACCTTGGAGAGGGTTCGCGATCATAGGACATGGTCAAAATCTCCGAAGAAAGTTCGGGTCTTGATGTTGAGACTTGATGATTCCAAAACCGTTTCGAATTATTCGTTCGAAATTTGAGCAAGGTTGCTGTTAGGCATGACACCCAGGCCAGAGGGGGAGAATATGGTGGCATGGTCAAAAGTGACCGGTCACTTTTTTATGTTCTGGATTGACAAGAAAATGCGAATGGGAAAAAATGAAAATTTGACCGGTCAACTTTGAGAAAAGTGACCGGTCACTTTTTAGTTGGCGGATTTGATGAAATCAGACAAAACTGGAAAAAATATTTTTTGACCGGTCATATTTTTGACCGGTCATATTTTTGACCCGGCACCTGGACAGGAAATTTGACGTCATGCTGGTTACATATTGCGACAAAGCCATTAAAACCTGGAAGTTGACTGGGTCAGAAAACAGGCGAGGGAGAAACTGACCTAGACGTTTTAAAGTCAAGAAACCAGGACATGAGATCACCTGGAAGTTTTCAAGCCTTGCGTCTAAAGTGGTCTTCAAAACTTCCAACCTAGCCTACTACACCAGGACATGAGATGACATGGACGTTTGTTGCAGTTCAACCTAGACACAAGCCGGTCCAGAAGGCTAATCAGGCCACAAGATTTGGACGTTTTCAAGGTTGCAAGACCTAGATGTTTTCAAGGCTTGTACTTGACCAGGACATAACATGACCTGGACATTTTCAAGAGATGGAATTGACCTGGACGCTGTCAACAAAGCCTACCAGACCTAGACATTTCTAAGGCGTTAACCAAAGACCAAGACATGAGGTGACCTGGACAACTAAAAAGGACAAAGCCGGTTACTTCTTTTGACTTGGAATCAAGCATATTCAAGAAAATAGTCAACCAAGCCAGTGAGGCCTGGGCGTTTTCAAGACCAGGACATGAGATGACCTGGGCGTTTTTTAAGACGATTCTTAAGGTATAAGGCCGGTTAGTCTTATTGACTTGGAAGTTCATTCAAAGGCGATCAAGAAGAAGAAAAGAAAAGCAATAACCATGCATAGAAAAGGACAACCATGCAAACTGAAAGAAGAAACAAGCCGGTAAATTGAAAACCATGCCAAACAAAAGATAATATTAAACAAGTCAGAAGTAGGCCGGACATCCCCCAGGCCTTGGGAAAATTCAAAGTTTTTTTAAAAAAACCAAACCCTAACCTATTCTAAGGGAAAGGGGGGAGCCGGCTCTTCCTCGTAGAGGGCTGGAAGCTTCATTTTGGCCGGGTCAAAGGAAGGATCCCTCTTCAGAAGTCTGGCATAAAGAAGAGACCTCTCATCTTTCTGACCACACTGGAATCCATAAGACCCTATCTCCGTTATCATCCTCTTCCCCTCCGGCTCTTGATACATGACTTTGAAAAAGTCCATGGTTTCCTCCGGGTAGTGAGAAGGGACCGGGCAACCTCCGTGTGATGGCGCGCAGCCTAGTCAGCAGCTTCAGAAGGAAAGGCCTCCTCCTTTGCCCGGGCAGATTCTTCAGCCTGGCCCAGCGCATCCTCGAGCTCGGCGATCTTTCTCTTCTTTTCCTCCTCCAGAAGAGCAAACCGGGCCCTTTCTTCCTTCAACTCTTCCTCAAGTCTCCTCTCCCTTTCTGCCCGGTCATTGATCTCTAACTTAGCAGAATCAAGGAGGAGGGTGAGCTGGGAGACCTGGTCCTTCTCCTTTAATGTTTGGCCAATCTCCTCTGAAATGACCCCGACCTGTAAAAATAAAAAATAAAAAAAAGAGCAGGCATATCAGTAAAAGTGAAGGAAAAAACTTGAACCGGGAAGAAAGGTGGAGATGGAATACCTTGCTGAGTTTTTTGGCCAGGGATAGGAAGGCTTCTTCGATGGTTTCCCCCTCCCTGTCTGATAAGCTAATCTTCCTCTTCTTGCCTCCCCTGGAACTCTTATGAGAGCTCTTCCTTTTTTGGTCCTTGGCTTTTGAAGAGGAAGATGCACCGACCTCTTTAGCACCTGATTGGACCGGGACTTTGGGGGGATTAGCCCGGTCAACCTTAGAGTGATGCCTGGCTGAAGGAGATTTCAGCTTCTGGCTCTGCGCATGGATAGGGCTACACCGGGCACTTATGGCCCCATCCTTTCCAGGAGAGTTAGAGAGAGGAGACCGGTTGGAGTGGAGGACTTGGACATCATCGTCGTCATCCTCAATGATGGTGGTCATCCTGTTGAAGTTCATGTCTGCCAAAGAGAACAAAGTAACCGGTTAGATTTTACACCTTATCAAAATGAAAGTGGAATCAAAAGGTTGAGGAAAATTAACCAACCTGGATGAGGAGAGCCGGCCTCAGCGTGACCATCCGGGGAATCAGCCCGGTTATCCTCAGTGTCATGGGTCGCAGACGCACCCCCATCCGGGTTAGCTAGCCGGAATACCCAGCCCCCATAGGCATAAGGTTTCCCGGTCACAGGATCACCCTTGAGAAGTTTCTCGCAGGCGTCCTCAAGATCTTTAGTGGGCTCCGGTTGAACCCTTTCAGGTTTTATAACCCGGTCAGCCCACTCAGGGTTTGAGAGAGGAAATTGGTCAGGGGGGAATCCAACAAAAACAAATCTTTTCTTCCATCTTTTGTGACTAGGAGGAAGACCGGTCACAAAAGATCTCTTATTACGAGAATGGAAATAGACGAAGCCTGGGCAGTTACTAGCCCCGGGCAAGACTTCGTACATGTGGAGGAAAAGCTCAAGGGAAGGGTTGATTTTCAAATTTTCACAGATATTTACAAAACAATTCAAGAACCGGTGAGCATTTGGAGTAAGCTGGCCGGGCAAAATCTTGAATTTGTTACAGATTTCTACGAGGAGGGGGCGAAGGGGAAAGATAATGCCCCCCTCTAGCGAAGCGATGTGAAAACCCAATCGGTTTCCTTGGTGGGGTTCTATGATGTTGGGCCAGGTGGTGTTAGAAAGGACTTTATAGCCCGGGGGAAGGACGGAGCGCACCTCGGCCAGGACCTTTTTTGTAACCCTAGAGGACTCTTTGAAGACCGGTCCTGAGTCAAGGGCTAGGTAGCCCATTGATCCCAATCGTTCTTCCCACTGGTCCCAGCTGAGGATCTTGGGATTGAACCGACCGGGCAGTTGGTTCAAAGGAATAGGCTCCTGGGCAACTATTTCCCGGGCCTGGGAGCTAGACTAGACTGGTGAGAGGGGCGGCGAATCAAAGGAGTGACAGGGGGAGAAAAAGATTCAGAGTGGGAAGAGGAAGAGGGCTGAGAGTCAGATCCATAGGATTGGCCAAAGATGTTTTGGCTATCAGAAGACATTATGATTGCCGGTCAAAAAAGGGAAGATGAAAAATAAAAGACTAGGAGGACTGGAGCACTTACTTGGTGAGAAGCTAGAGAGAGAAAGCAGACCGGGCAAATTAAGAGAAACGAATGAGAGAAGTGAAGAAATGAGATGGGTTGGAGGAGTATTTATAGGAGAGAGAGAGAGGCGGTTTGGAGTTCGAGGCGACAGGTGGGAGGCTGAGGAGCTGACACGTGGATAAGGTAATGGTGAGGGGGGAAATTTGAATTTTGAAGGTGGAAGGTGAAAGGTTTTGGAGGGAAAACCCAAAACTAAAAGGCCAGGCTCAACGTTTGGACTCCCACAAATCCAAACGGACGGGTCATGCAGCGTGATCTACATATCCAAAAGTGCCAGGTCTGGTATGAAGACGGTGAATCCAAGAAATGGGCAGGTCTCCATGGAAAGGTCATGGGAATGGCTTGACAATTTCAAAGAAGGACATGACAGGTCTTGAAAAAAAAGGCTTGGCAATCCAGAGAAAGACAGGTCTTGAAAGAGAAAGGTATGATAATTACAAAAGTGACGGGTCTAAAAGGACAGGTCAACAAGAAGGACAGGTCAATGAGAATGACTTGATAATTTAGAAGAAGGACAGGTCATGGGAATGACTTGATGATTTCAAAGAAGGACAGGTCATGGGAATGACCTGGTAATGTCAAAGAAGGACAGGTCATGAGAATGACTTGATGATTTCAAAAGTGATAGATCAACATAAATATACTTCCCGCCCTTGATGACTTCCTCACAAGGCCGGTAAGTGGAGGACTTCTTGATGGGTATATCCTTATACCCGACCCGGACAACCGAAAGGGACAGGTCAAAATATGACCGGTCACTTTTATCAATCACCAAATGAGGTTAACTCTTCGATTGGGACGGGTCAAAAGTTGACCGGTCACTTCCACTAAAAAAAGTGACCGGTCACATTTTGGGCGATAGCCAAAATGTCGCCTAATGTTACAAAGGACATTCTAGAAGACCAGAGACAGGTTGAGCACAAAGAATGACCGGGTAACTTTTGAGAGAAGGTGGCCGGTCATATCACTTTACTTGGCTAACATTGGTTCAGTCTCTTAGGCATGGTGAACCACGTCAGAGGTCAAGGGGACACCCCGCCGCTAATCCATCACGAGGCACACAGTGAAAGGGATGTTTGTCATTTTGCAGGATTGATTGGATTGAGAATATCCATTTTAGTCTTTGATTGAACAGTACATGTCTTGGCCTATAATTGCTAAATTCTATGATTGTACAGTGTTCCCATTATCTACAGTGACCTTCCCACGAGCTTCCTATTTTGTCCATGGATGAACAGGGGAAGGTCACAAATCCTCCTTTATAAATATGATGATATTGGATAGAGGAGGGGATCCAATTTTTCTCTCACTAAAGTTCACTCTTGAGATAGAGTAAGAAATATTATTCGGACTGAGGAGATTTACCCGGTCTAGGTCATACTTTGTGTTCTTGTTGTGTGTTTTATATTACGGGTCGAGTGTGTCCAGGTCAAACCCAGTTAACCCACCCCGCTATATTTACACCATCAAAATGAATCAACGAAACAGAGCAAACATGCGGAAGATCTGGATTGCCGCAAGGACCCTAAAGTGCGACATGATGGAAGATCTGGATTGTCGCAAGTCTGCGCGGAAGAGCGGCAACCCTAGGTGCGGACGGGAGAGACGATTCAGGCGTTATTCATCTGGAAGGAATTGATAAACCCTAGGTCCAACAATCGTTGATGCTGACAGCGATGAAGATGATGACGACGATGATGATTAGAGTAATTTGGAGTAATGTAAGTTGAAATAGACTATAAAATTATATTTCCAAGTTTGAAGAGAATGAACAGTATGTTACTTGAGAATGAACACTACATAATTTGAGAATGAACCCCACATTATTTTAGAATAAACACTAAGTTATTCGCAAATGATTATTATAATTGTATTGTATAAATGTGTGAAAATGGGTACCACGTTATTTCAGAATGAGTACTGCGATATTTCAAAAAGAACGTTTATATTTGTTTGAGAATGAATACTACTTTACTTTAGAATAAATACTACTCGAATATACCTTACTTCTGGTACAACCGGCTGTACCATATACATTCTCTTTGAATTGTATAATAGTACAAGGTTAACCATTGAAAGTTGTGAAAAATTATCTTCATCGCAATTGTTGCATTAGAAAATAAAGCCTTAGAGAAGGTTTACATGCACAACATAAATGAGTTATATTCCGTATATCATTTCATATAAGACTACTCTTGAAGTTTCAAAGAATATAATTTTCCAACGAGACGGAGCAATATAATCGTGCGAAAGATCTGGATTGCCGTAAGGACCCTAAGTGCGACATGATGGAAGATCTAGATTGTCGCAAGTCTCCGCGGAAGAGCAGCAACCCTAGGTGCGGACGGGAGAGATGATTCAGGCGTTATATCATTTCATATAAGATTACTCTTGAAGTTTCAAAGAATATAATTTTCAATAGCTTATGTTTCGTTATGACTTATGATTATAAAAAAAGTTAATGTCAAACATTGGCATTAATAATATTATTTTTACCAAATTGGTATTCACTTATTGTTAAATTTATACTATTATTTCACAAGTGAGAGTAAAAATAAAGTTGAAATTATTAGTTTTACATTTTCTTGGTAATCTTTATAACTTCACAAAAAATATTGTATACCTCAATATTTTTCAAAATATTCTTATTCTAATTTAAATAAGAATTTGAAATGTTAACTTTTAAGTGTATATAGTAGAATTTTAATTAGCAATTCTATATGTTTTATGTTTTTTGATATTTGAAAATTTTTTTCACGATGAAATATAACAAAAAAATTATTTCATCATGTATATGACATATGTCAAAATACTACTACCTCTGTCCCTGAGTATTTGTCTAGTTTTGACTTTTTTGGTCAACTATTTTCCACCTTTGACTTATAATTAAATTAAATATATATTGTATTTTAATGAAATAAAATAATATTTTGAAAATATTTGATATAATAAATCTAAGAAAACTTTTTGTGTATCAATGTTTAATATCATTTTATTTAATTTGAGATTAAAATTTACCAATCTTGACTGAAAAAATAAAAAGTAAAATACTCAGGGAGTACTATATAAAAAAAATCACACCGGATAAGCTCTTAACAACCCCATAAAAAACAGGGTCGGGTCCTTGCCATTTCATAGCCACAAAAATTTACCCCGAGTATTCTCTCGCTAGTGGGGGTTTGATTCAAATTTTCAAATCTATCAAACGGTCATGAGACCAGTCATTCTATAATTTGAATTTTTACACCCCGCCCCTCTCTCATTTCTATTTCACTCCAAACCCTTCTCCTAAATTCCATCCCGTCCTCTAGCCTCGTCAACGATGCCCCTGATATCTGAGCCGCAGAGTGCTATGAAATCCAGATTCGGATTCCACGACCACAGTCACAGTTCCTCAGAACAGCCACCTCCCGTGATGCCGGCGGTCAAGAGCTCGCCGGATCTCCGGATTCTGAAATCAGCTTGCAAGGAGAGGAATGAGAATTGGGAAGGTGACAGTGCACAAACCTCGTTCTCTAACCAATCACGGAGTTTTGAGTTCCGTGAAGATCCTGCGTTCTGGAAAGAGCATAATGTTCAGGTGCTGTATGCCTACTTTTCTTTTTGTAGTAATTCCGGACTATCTCTTTTAGCGTCTGAGAAATTCGGGATTAAAACTTGCACAAGTAGTATTTCTGCCGTGGGAAACTGGGATGATTTCCCCCAATTTTGTTTGTTTGTATATCCTGAGTAAATTTGGGTAATGGACTATGGAGAAATTTCAGTAGTACTCTTTGCAGCAATCCACTGCCACTGCTAATTACTGCTGTTCAAGATTCTAGGGGTGGAGTAGAAATGATTCAATGGTAACCTGCAAATTGGAAAATATGAAATAGGAGTATGAACTTTCAAGGCGTTGATAACTTCTTTTTTCCCCAAGTACTTTCGAGAATATGAGTATTGAAGGAAGTAACTATTTTAAGTTCATGGTGGTGGCTAACTAGTTATGATAACAAGTAGCTGTTCACCACCAAAAAAATGTACGGAGTTATTCCCTTGGAACACAAAGCTAAGAATTACCAGCTGTAAATTCTATAAATTTGAATTTTAAAGCTATATACCCATTTTTTATTTACTCCGTATTTAGATTATCTGTATCAGATCTGCAAACCTGTCACAGGAAAGAGGTTCATTTTATCATGATTGATGTTTAACACAAACAGTCGAGCACACGAAATGGGGAATGATTGACTAGAGGTCTTTCTATAACTATCCAGTTTGTCAACCATAATAAGTGTTGAGAGTAGAGTATTTGATATGATTCCAATAATCAGATTAGACAGTTTTCACCAAACACCTCAAATCTAGATAAGTTCTTAATGCGTTTCACTCCTTCCTAAGTTTTTCCATGAAAACTCAGTCAGTCCCAAAATAAAATTCCTTATTTCCTTTTCGTGACATCCCAGAAAAGGCCCCTCTTTCCAGTTTTGGAAAACTTTGTGTTGCTCAGTATCTTTCTCTCTTCTCCGTATCACTTTCAACTTCACAATTTTACTTTTTAAAGTGTTGTGCCAAACCAAATCATGAGCCTTTTTTGGGACGGAGGGAGTATTTAGGAAATGATATTTATATATATTCATTCCTATAGGTATTTAATTTACTACGGTTAATTACTCATTTCAAGACTTCTTTATAAATATAGTGTTCTTTGTAGTTTAACTATTTAACAATAATTTACTTACAAATTATGGAGTAAGAGGAAGGGTATTGTATTATGCAACTCAGGAAAAATATTGATATTCTAAACTTTATATATATGTTTTAAACTAGACACAAACATTTATATGTATATGTACCCTTTTTGGCACTTTTTATGGGGTGCCTTAAATTACTAACAGCGACCTTCTGTTGCTCATACTCATGTTCTGTTTAACTGATTTAAACAGGTCATTATCAGAGTTCGTCCCTTAAGTGGTTCAGAGATTTCTTTGTATGGACGTAGTCAATGTGTAAGGCAAGATAGTTCACAGACGATTACTTGGATAGGGCATCCAGAGTCACGCTTTACATTTGACCTCATTGCGGATGAAAATGTTACCCAGGTGTGCTTGTCTTTGCATTTATGTCTTCTATTTTTCTTGTATTTCTTCATATGTTAAAGTTTTCATGTTTTGAACTAAACAGGAGATGCTATTTAAAGTTGCTGGAGTGCCCATGGTTGAAAACTGCGTGGAAGGGTACAATAGTTGCATGTTTGCATATGGCCAAGTATGTTACCTATTTGTCTTTTCAGATATGGAAGCTACTGCCTTTGTTCTCTCGATGAATAAGTCAAAATACTCCAAGTGTGTAATATTAGATTATTTTGTTATGCATAGACTGGAAGTGGAAAAACACATACAATGCTCGGAGACATTGAAGGCGGCACACGAAGACATAGTGTAAACTGTGGAATGACACCTAGAGTCTTTGAGTATTTGTTTTCAAGAATCCAAAAGGTATGCATGCTACATATAAGTACTACCTTGTGAATGAATACTTTTAAAAATAAACATAGACACTATTTATTATGGGAAAACAAAGATATTTCACATATAAAAAATAATGCCTTAAAAAAGGACCATCTGGTTCTATTTAAGAGGTTCATATAAAAGGACTTTTAGGAGCAATAAGTATAGGGTAAGGGTGTACTAGTGACCTTTTATCTGATCATGAGTATTACTCCGTATTAGTGTAGGAAATGGACTTCTTTCAATTTTGCCCCTATTATCATTAAGAGTGCATGGCTTAGACTCCCTAGACAACTTAGCCTTCATCTATTATACTTTCATATATGCCTTTGGAAGTCGAATTCAAGTTCTCAATTTATGCCTGCAAGTTTTCATCAGGTTAAATTTACTCCGGAGCATGAATTATCTTAAGAGAAGTTAAGTTGAATCTAGTCTTTAATTGGTCTTTTCAAATTGGCACAGGAAAAGGAGGCACGCAGGGAGGAGAAGATGAGATTTATTTGCAGGTGTTCTTTTTTAGAGATATACAATGAACAAATTCTTGATCTCTTGGACCCTTCTGTTGTTAATTTACAGGTAAAGAACATCTATTTATCTTTTTTCATTGCACTGCATTGAAACTTCAGATCTGCTGTCTATTACATATTATGTAGTATATTCATAATCATGTTTATATTCATCATTTATATACAGTGGTGAAATATTTCTTTTTAAGTATATACGCGTTATATGTTCTTTAAGTGTGGGGATAATGGTTCAAATGCCCAATAACAAAGAAGTTATATTTATGTTCAGTCTATAAATGCTACGGTTGTATGTATTATGTAATAAAGCAGCAAATGTTTACCTATTTGTTTTTACTTTTTTTTTAATTTTTATTTACCATGAAAGGAGGTACCTACCCCATTTACTTCCAATTGGTAATGAATATTCAATTGTTTTAATTCCTTTAATTTGAATGTGGCATATACACATAATTATTTCACGGAATTCCTTTCTGAACTAATGGTTCTGTTCATACCGTAGATCAATTCTATTTTTCAGCATTGAAATGAATGCATAAAGTGTGGTATGTGAATGATAGTAAAATGTTAGTTCTACTCTACGGGAAAAGTAACAAGGTCCGTCTAGTATTGTAGATACGAGAAGATACTAAGAAAGGGATTCATGTGGAAAATCTCACTGAGGTAGAAGTTACAAGTGCCCGAGATGTGATTCAACAACTTGTTCAGGTATGTTGTCACTTGTGACTTGTTTAGGAAGTATAGTCTTTACCACTATTATATCTTGGACTCTTGGTAATATGTATCCATACACAATTTTTTAACAAGTATTTAATTCAACCAGTTTTTCATTTTTTCATGGGTTTATAGTTTTGCATACCAGGTGATTTAATAAATCTCATCTCTACTGGAATTTGCTGTATTACTTAATTAAAAATGCATTATTAGTGTTGTAGTTCTTTGCTCATTTCAGTTCCAGAGTAAAAAGCTAAGAAGGCGGTGTCATAATTTCAAAACATGGGAGAGCATTTCTAGATAAACTAGAGAGTATCCTGGCAAGAGTTTGAAAATTAAGTAAAAAACTTGGTTGGCCTTTCTGAACTTTCTGAGAAATATATGCTGGAGACATGTGGAGTGTACGGGTTTTCTTCCCAGCCATGGAACAATTTTGATATAATGGATTTGTCCTTTTTCCTATACAATTGAGTTGAGACTTGAGAGCATGTTGCTGAAAAAACCTTGCCTGTAAAGTGTACATTCATTGAACTCTAGGCAATGTTGTAGCTCTTGCTCTTCAGTAAATGGGAAGTTTGTTGTCATGCGCAATTATACAGTAAATGATTGGATTACTGGATTATAACAAAAACAGTGCTCATATTTACTGTTTTCTGTTTGAGATACATGTCTGTGGTAGGGTACTTAATGTTGCACTAGTGATACTTGCCTCTTGGACACACTTTCTCTGTGCTTTATTTGTTGAACAAGAATATATTTGTATTAGTTATGTTCTAATAAGCTTATTCAAAGTACAGGGTGCTGCAAACAGAAAGGTAGCTTCAACAAATATGAACCGTGCTAGTAGTCGTTCTCACAGTGTATTTACTTGTGTTATTGAAAGTAAGGTAAGATTTTTTATTTAGCTTCATTCCTTTTCTTCTTGCCTTATGCTCTTATGATAGTGTGATTTAAATTCCAACCAAAATCTCATATGTGCACTTACGCAGTGGGAGTCCCAAGGTGTAACACACCATCGGTTTGCACGCCTTAATCTTGTGGATTTGGCCGGCTCTGAAAGGTAAACCGAATAATTACAATGAAACACATATGGAGGATCTTAAATGATAGTCATCTGCCAAATCTGTTTTGTAATTGTGCTTATTTACCAGGCAAAAAAGTTCAGGTGCCGAAGGTGAAAGGCTAAAGGAAGCCACTAACATCAACAAGTCTCTCTCAACATTGGGGTTTGTTGTTCTCATATGACATTTTTGTGTTCAGACTTTTAATTGTGTTTGTGTTTTTGAAATTGACCTGGTTTAACAATATATAGGCTTGTGATTATGAACCTTGTTAACATGTCCAGTGGGAAGTCACTCCATGTTCCTTACCGAGATTCAAAGCTGACATTTTTGTTACAGGTGACATGTCCTGATTTAAGCTTCCCATGAAAGTCCTTAAGTTTCTTAAATTGTTTTCAGCAAGAGTAATTGCAGTAGTGAATCTCCTTCCACACCTTTCCCCTCTATAGAAAACTGAGTGTAATATGCAAAGTTGGTTTCATAATAGCTAATACCCTTTAACAACTTTCATACGGTTGAGAGTGCCCATAATATTCCTTCTTTTCAGGACTCGCTGGGAGGGAATGCAAAAACAATCATAATTGCCAATGTCAGTCCTTCCAGCAGGTAAGAATTACATATCGTTGATGCCTTCTACCAAATCACATTTGTCTTTGGATCCTGAGTTACATTTTGGATCAAAGGCTGCCTTGTTATGGAGACTAAATAGTTCATTTTAACCAAATGTTGAAATGAAGAAACAAATAATTATGACTTGACTTCTGCAGCTGCTCTCTAGAAACTCTAAGCACATTGAAATTTGCTCAGCGTGCCAAATTCATAAAGAATCATGTAAGTGCTTATCCTTACCTTGATGACTTCACAAAAATATTAACCTTGTTCATCATGTATCAATTACAAGCCTTTATTTCATGTGATCCCCACTCTCCTGCCTCATTTTCTTCACTGTTTTGGCAGTTCATAATACATTCTGTACAAGATGTTTCAAAATAGTAAGATGCGATTGTGCCAACAATGAATTTTTTCAACACAAATGAATTATATAATAGCTATTCGGATGTGCAATCTGGACAAACTCTAAATGATTGGTAACTAAGTTACCTTCCTCACAAATTTCAATCTTGCATTCACAGGCTGTTATAAATGAAGATGCTTCTGGAGATATTCTTGCAATGAGGGTGCAGATTCAAAATCTGAAGGTATTGGTTTAAATCAAGCCACATCATCCTTACCTAATCTTTGCTAGAAGCCTAGCTTCTGCTGAACTCTGCTACCGATAACATCTTTATGTTATTCTGTGTTAATAATTGAATACTCTTTTGAGTAGACCGAGTATAGTCCCAACTTCGTTAGGGGG